AAAGCCTCTACTGATAAGAGTGGCTGATAACTGGGAATTATGCCAGAGACAGGATCTCTGAAGACAAGCACAAAAAGACTCCACAACTTTAAGCCAAGAGGGTAGATAAGAAGGCCACAAAAAATCTGAAATCTGTGGTGCTTAGAGTGATAACAAATTCAAACTCCCATATACAGTCCTGGTAATTCTGAAACATGCTGATGTCACTTTAGGAAATATCTGGGGTGCTCTTCAACTCAAGAATTTTTTTTTTTTTTGGTTTTTCGAGACAGGGTTTCTCTGTGTAGCCCTGGCTATCCTGGAACTCACTCTGTAGACCAGGCTAGCCTCGAACTCTCGAACTCAGAAATCCGCCTGCCTCTGCCTCCCAAGTGCTGGGATTAAAGGCATGCGCCACCACTGCCCGGCTCAACTCAAGAATTTAAGACAACTGAAAACATATGTGTAGTCATAACAGCTAAAAAGTAGAAACAATTAAAATATGCATCAACTGATAAATGGATAAACAAAATGTGGTATATTTATGCACTATAATATCATTTGGTTATAGAAATGAATGAGGGACTGATGTATAAGATATTATATACACTAATCCTGAAAACAATATATTAAATGAAGAAACTAGGCATAAAAAATTAGATTGTATGATTCCACTTTATAAGAAATGTCCAGAATAGGCAAAGGCAGAGATGGAAAACAGATCAGTGGTTTTCAATGACTGAGAATAGGGAAATTGGGGAGTTAACTGCTATGGGTTAATGGGTTTCTAACAGGTGTGGTGAAAAGATTCTAAATTTAGACTGTGGTAAAAGATATGTAACTGTGGATATACTAGAACCTATTTAATAATATGCTTCAAATTGATAAACTTCATTTATAAGGACTGTATTTCAAAAATATATTTAAAAATTTTTTTTGAGAAAGAGAAGATATGTCTCAGTATAGTCCAGGTTGCTCTCTAACTCACTGTGAGGCAAGAGAATGACCATGAACTTTTGATTTTCCTGCCTCTGCCTTCTGAGGGCTGAGACTAAAGCCAGGACTTTGTGCTCATGCTAGGCAACTGTTCTATCAACTGAGCTATACCCCTAGTCCATGGTTTGACTTTATAAAGGGTAACTAATGTGGTATTAAAAGATACCAACCAAGAGATCTTGATATCTACTTTTACCTAACTTTAGTTAGGAGTCCCCTCTGTCAAGTTGGTGTCAGTAATGACTAGGTAGATAGTCTGAGCTGTTATCACTGCACATTAGTAACATGGAATCTTTCACTACTAACTCTCGTCCTATTAGTAGAGGCAGTAAGTATTACCATCCCTACCAAGCAGTAACAAAACCCTGTGTCTTCTAGATAAATAGAACTGCTAAAGGGAGCCCAAGCATCCTGCCACTGGAAGAGAATACTTTTATTCCAACTAACCTGGTTATAGCAGAGGTTTGCCAAAACAAAAGATTTAAATAGACTGAGTGCCGCATAACATAATACCAAAAAAATTCCAGAGTACAATTGAAAAATTACTTGTCAAACTAAGAATTGGGAATGAGAAAGATAATCAATAGGCTTCAACACCAAGATGACAAGAATGTTAGAATTACTGAACAAGAATTTTCAGGCATCCATGGTAATTATTGCCTCAATGCAAAACTGCAAACAAAAAAAAATCCCAGCAAAGAAATAAAGGATATACAATAATTAAAATAACAAACTTTTGGGTCAAGCTCATCTAGAGAATGGAATTGATAAAAGAAAAAAACAGGGCTGGAGAAAATGGCTTGTAGAGAACTGCTGAGGCCTTAGTTTCAGTTATTACCACTGCTTTAAAAAACACATCAAAAAAAGAACTAGTGAATGACAGAAATCACAGATCACAGATTTTGTGAAGAAAATGAGATCTTAAAGAATCTGTGGCCGGGTGGTGGTGGTGCACGCCTTTAATCACAGCACTTGGGAGGCAGAGGCAGGCCTGGTCTACAAAGTGAGTTCCAGGACAGCCAGGGCTACACAGAGAAACCCTGTCTCAAACCCCCACCCCACCCAAAAAAAGAATCTGTGGAACAGTAACAAAAGTAACATTCATATAACTACTAAATCACAAAAATTAAATAAGTTGGAACTTAACAAATACTGAAAAAATAATGCAACAGTTTTCCCCAAACTTGGCAGAAGAGGATCACAAACAGAATAAATATAAAAAAAATCCATAGAGTTGGAGACATGGCTCCATGGTTAACAGCACTTCCTGTTCTTGCAGAAGATCCAAGTTTGTTTCCTAACACTGGTGGTACATAACTGAAACTACAATTCCATGGGATCTGATGTATTATTTTTACATTTTCATGACACAACCAATCACCAAAATAAACTATACCTTGGGCTATAAATCAAACCTCATCAAATATAAAATACCTGGGGCCATATCGTCTTCTCTGACAAAAATTACTCTAATTGGTGTGTCAACATAAAATACAAACTTAAAATTAATTATGAAAATTAATAGGATACAGCTAAAATGGTATTTAAAACAAAATTTATTTATTTATTTATTTATTTTCAAAGACTTTTGTGTAAATGTTTTTTTTAAGATTTATTTATTTTATTTATGAGTACACTGTCGCTGTCTTTGGACACACTAGAATAGGGCATCCAATCTCATTACGGATGGTTGTGAGCCACCATGTGGTTGCTGGGATTTGAACTCAGGACCTCTGGAAGAGCAGTCAGTGCTCTTAATCGCTGAGCCATCTCTCCAGCCCCCTAAAACAAAATTTATAGTCCTAAAATTTATGTATTACAAAAAAGAGGCTTGAAAATGTAGCTCAGTGGTAGACTCAAGAAATGGGTTTGATCTTCATTACCACAACTAAAAAGGAAGAAAAATATCTGTCTCATTAATAACTGAAACAAGGCCTCAGAACTCAGGTTGTCAGACTTTGCAGCAAGTGTCTTTATCCTGAGCCATCTCACTAGACAGACAGACAGACAGACAGACAGACAGACAGACAAGACAAGACAAGACAGACAGACAGACACACACACACACACGCACAGTCACTTACTCCTGATCCACAGAAACTGAGATAATACATGTATATTGAACTAAGCCACTAATCTTGTTATTATTTGTAATGAAGAAATACACATTTAAGATAAGAAGACATAAAAGACATAAATCTGCACAGAATATTATCAAATATATTTGTTAACTAACTCTTTCCTTCAGAAAGTGAATCCTTGCCTAACATCATCCCTGTGTTTTAGTATGCCAGTCTTAGTGAACAGAACAAGAAAAAGCAAAAAAAAAAAAGTAATGTTATACTAGAGAAACCTTGTGCTAATCAAACGATAACCTCCCCCCTTTGATATAATGTGACAAGAAAGGCTCTTCATTCTGTTATAGTATTTTCCTAAACCTTGATTATAATCCAATCATAAGACAAATACGGGACAAACCCAGACTAGAGAAAAGTCTACTGAACACTCAACAATATTCTTTAAAATTTTTTAAATTTATTTTTATTCTATATGTATGAGTGGTGTGTGTGTGTGTGTGTGTGTGTTGGGGGTGGTGGTGATACATGTGTGCCCACTACCTGAGGAGGTGAGAAAGTGTTAGATGCCTTGGAAGTACAATTATAGATGGTTCTGAGTTGCCATGTGGATGCTGAGAATCAAACCTAGATCTTCTAGAAGAAATGCCAGTATTCTTAATTGCTGAGGTATCTTTCTGGTCCCCTCCACTCCTGTTTTTGAGTTTTTCCTGTATGGCAGATACTTATAAAAATACTGTGATATTCTACCAGGCCCACAAAGATTTCTGACCAAGTGACCTCTGAGAAAGAGAGAAATGCTCTCTATTGGATACACTTGAATGAAAAGTAATACCCACCAGTTATTCCATTTCTGTTAGAATGAGTGGAACTTAAGACTTGCTTCTAACCATAACTATGGCAAATGTTTTAGATGATAAAGCTATGTGAGTTTTTTTGTTTTTAGAAACACTGACGTCATACTATGTCACATAAAATTTCATTTCAGCATATGGGAGAGAAAGATTCTTTCTTGCCCCTGAGAAAGTGGCCCTGTTGTGAGAGAAGGCCAGATGGCAGGAAACTATAAAATCCTTAAGAACTGAGTGCTGTCAAAAGACTGCAGGGACACAAGGATCTTGAGTCTTTTAGCTTCAAGGAAAGGAATTTTGCCCATAACTTAAAAGTGAATTCTTTTCTAATCCCCAGTGAGAACATCCTAGTGAGCACAGTGGTTGTAGCCCTGAAAGACACAGAATCTAGTCACATTCAATATAGATTCCTGACCATAGAAACAGATAATAAATATATACTGTTTTAAGCCACTAATCTTGTTATTATTTGCAATGCCTAAAGATAACTACCAAAAGAATTTTACTTATAGTGAAAATGAAGATGCATAGGGTCAATTTCTAATCATTTAATTTCCACTGAGGAAAATCTTTATGACTAAATGTAAGTACAATCCTGGTAGTTTGGTGCTCTTAGGGGAGAGGCTGAGCGTCAGAGAAGAAATCTATTTTTTTCTGGGCTAGTAATGTTTCAAAAGCTGTCAGGATTCAGTCCTTTCCTTCTCCACCCACAAACTCTTTACCTATCCCTTTCTTGCACTATCTCCCACCCTCTAATGTAACTCTTTTTAACTCTTTTCAACATTAGGCTATAAGATCTTGGAATCTTTCAAAGATCCCCCAAGTCTGGGTCTCTTTGATTTCTTAGCTAGGGGAGGACTACTGTAAAGCTGAGAACTTATTCTTCAAATAAAATCAGTGTAAATACTACTACTTTTATAAAGGAGAAAAGAAAAATTCTTTTATGGAAAATAAGTATTATCATAAGTAAATGAGTCTATCTATATTGGCTCACTGGTATTTATTTCACTTGGCATATTTATAAATTCTGGGTATTGTTAACATGTTGGCAGGAGGCAGATACTACTTTTTAAGTATAAAATTGAATATATGATCTCACCTCAGCAGACTTCTTGTGTTCCTTAGGATTTTTTGACTTCTTTCTATACATTGAGCTAGAAGTAAATGAAGTGGAAGGACCTGCAAAAGATAATTAGAAAAAATACTGAAATGTATTACTCACTACTTTAAATGCCAACTAACTAACTAGATATGAAAGATATGATAGAAGACCACAAGATCTCATACTACTGAAGAAATTATTCAGCTGTACCCAAGAGAGAGCCTCAATGGAGTTTAACATTTATTAGTGACAACCCAGATTATAAAAGTTTTAACAATGGCTGTGAAGATTCAACCTGGCATAATCGTATCTCATAATATTTTGGAATAACCAAATTTGTGTTCTGCTTGGAGAAAAAAAAATCTACCAGAAAGAAAGAAAGGAAGGAAGGAAGGAAGGAAGGGAGGGAGGGAGGGAGGGAGGGAGGGAGGGAGGGAGGGAGGAAGGAAGGAAGCCTAGAAAAACTAATGATTGATCCTCAACCAAACCTTAGTTATAATCAAAGTCAGGATCTACAGTTTATATTTTTAATACTTTTTTCTTTCTTTTTAAAGAAGTTCTGTTAAAGCATTAGTAGATCTAGCTTTTGTTATAACTAAATTTAAAGTGAAAATTCCAAGTGTTATATAACACATAAAATCAATTCTTCTACCTAATTTATAAATTTCTAATGAAATTAAAAGAGTAAAAATGGATCCTGATCTTTCCTTCTCAGAAATATTTTAACTGTTGGAGGGAACATGAAACAAGTTATACTCAAGTCAAAGAAAAGATCCTCAAGGGCCACAAGATACATAGATTACTAGCTAGTTTTACTCACACTCATCTGAACTCTCACTGCTGCTGACAGGTCTATGCCGTTTCATCATGGTGCATCCTGGGAAAGAGAACAATGATCAATATATACTTGTCCAAGAACTCAGTTAATATTGTCTCACATTGAGAAGCTGACACCAAAGAACTACTATGAATTAAAAAACAACCAAGATCATAATAGTGAGACCATCAACAAATTATAACAAAATAACAAAAGCAACCAAAATAAAAACAAAAAAATAGTGTTCCCTAGACCCCAGAGTAACAGCAATAGGCAAACTTTAGAAAGTGAATGGTTTCTATCAAATATACTCACATATGACCTAAAGTAATGGGAAGAGAATACTATTAAATCTACAATACAAAATATATTAAAGGTTTGGTAAGGCTGAGTGGTACACTGCTGGCCAGAATCAAATAATGGGATCTAGCTGCAGTATCTGCAGTCAGAAACAACAAGTACATGAAAAGAAACAGCAGTCATGAAGACATAGTTGTCAAGGGCCTAGGCTGAAAGACATAAAACACAGATGGCTAAAAAAGAAGCTGGCTGAAGAAAGAGAATGATCACACAGCCTTTTTCCTGCCCCCTTTCTTGTCCCCATTTCCCAAACAAGAAGCCTAATCTAAAAGATCTCAATGTACACATAAGTTTTCTTTTTAAAGTTCCAATATTGCAAAGCTTTGGACAGTATCTTCTACTGCTTGCAGTGTTTCCAACAATAGATTAAAAGAGTCTATCACCTTTCTGGGAACACGCTCACACAAGAGTTAAGGAAGACACAAACATTTAAAAAGAGTGTGGAGCATCTGGCTTTAGATAGTAGTGTTAGTGCTGTTGAACAGAGGGCAACAAATTAAAAATGGGTGTTGGTGAGGAAGGCAAGAAGATTTTTTCCCCCAAAGTGTGGGAGGCAAGTATCAGACTGGACCAAATCTCCATGTTCTGTGTGGGAGGAAGAAAAGTCAACTGGATCCTTTTACACAGATGCCAACAAAATCAAAGGCATCATACAGGGAGAAGATGTATTAGTGTAGTATTTGGAGAATCCCAAAAAGCACATTCCTGGAACAAAAGCCATTAACTGGGAATAAGAAAAGGTAGAAAAATCAGACCTAATAGCTTATCTTAAAAAGGCTACTAATGAGTAATCCCACTGCCTAATTTATTACAAAATAAATGTCTTGTGGCTTTTAATATATTACCATAATTTAATTAATATACTAAAATTCAGATCATGAATGTTTAGCAATGTTTATTGTTAGATAGTCTTGATTTAAGTAAAATGGATATGATCTTTCTAAAAATCACAGTTTCAGTTGGCATAAATACTATCACTGTTCTCAATTTCTCAAGATAGGGGTGGACTTAATTAGCAATGTTTGACTTTTCACTAAGATGAGGTGTTACCTCAAAACCTACCAAAAGGTTTCTATACTTAGATTTATATACTTGGCATTTGGTTATGTTTAAACACTGGGAAAATTCTCTGTCTCAGAACAAAGCAGAAGTTACATGTCTTTCAGTTTGTGTTTTCTGGCCTGTTATAGACAACGGTTAAACTTCAGGAAGTAACAGTCTATTCTTGACAATGCCATTTTAATTAGAATTCCCTATGTCTAAGGATGCTGACTTTTACTGCTGAGAAGCTTTTTAGTGTGGTTTATGTATAGTCACAAATAGAATACTAAATACTTCTTTATAATTGATCTATAAATACACTTTTAAAACCCTGCATCTTAGACTGTTGCTTTTAAATTCTTTATTATCTAAGACTAAGTAATAATTCAGAATTGTCTTAAACACTCATTCAGAAATGTACAAAAATAGAACTACTGTATATATCTGATTGGTAGTGGCACTTTTTGCAAACTTATTAGATGGAAAGACTGAAATAAAGGAGATAGTCTGTAAGTTGTCAACAGTAAGAAGTTAATTAAAAACAATCACAGATCATGAAAAGACAAACAAAACCCAAACACTTAAAGTCACAAAGGAAGCATTAAAAATATAAAGTAGAAAAGATTTTTGTATAAGTAAGGACTGTCATTCTTTTATATGTCACAACAGAAAATAAATAATAGTAGGCACTACCAGGGTTCTACATATAAAGATTGAAGGTATTTACTTCAAGCCACTTACAATCTACCAAGGAATAGACGTCCAAGACCATGACAACTATTGACTAACCATGAGCAACAAGAGCCACAAGACCATCTGCTAAAAAGTTTGCAGAGTTCTCTACTTTTGGCATAATTGTATATGGAGTTTCATAGATCCATTCATTAATAAAACTAGCAAAGTTGTTTCAGCTGAAACCATAATAGCCAACCATTAGAAATCTCTAGAAATAACCATAAGGATATATTGCAAAGAAAGGAATATCTATTCAAGACAATCTACTAAAACTCAGGAGGCAAATTAAATAAATGATAGTCTATGGCATTTAACCTCAATTCATTCTGTCTCTCCAGTACAGGCCTCATGCCAGATTGGTACAGTTAAGAAGATAGGGTTTCCTTTTCTCCAAACATTAGTTGGAAGTCTTTCTTCTGGGAGGAGCAGGACCATCAGCACTGTTTATTGTGCCACCAACTACTGGCTATTGAGGCTAAGTTTCAAGTGAGTTTGGCTGAGAGGTGGCGTGTGGTGGACTCCTTTCTTCTACCTAGCTCTCAATTATTGAGTAGGAAAAATACCTTGAGTGTGGTGCTATTAAAAATACTGAGTCTTTGGTTGTCTTGATTGCAGCTTGAAGAAGTAGATGTTCTACAGAAAGGGCAAACCCAAGAGACCTAGGGCTGCCACTCAGAAGGACAACGTTGCTCCAGTCAATGTATTAGAGCTCTAACTCACAGATTATTTATTCCCAGCTAGGGAGAAAAGCAAGCCACAGAATAGAGGGCTCCAATTCTTCCCTAGTGGATATGACTTAATTTTCAAGTGAGTATGACAAGTTCAAACCTAGGCTGTTTGATATATTGAAGGAAACAAGAAGAAAGAGCCTCTTGGAGTCAGAAGAAATCTCTCTCTACAGTGCTGTGATTACATCTATGGCCCTATACATACTATGCAAGTACTCTTGCATATAGGTACAATTGCACTGAGGTACAATTATCCTACCCAAGAAGAAATCTATTCATCCATCCATCCATCCATCCATCCATCCATCCATCCATCCTATACATAGTGTTCTGCTTGCATATAAGCTTGCACACCAGAACAGGGCATCAGAACTCATTATAGATGGTTGTGAGCCACCATGTGGTTGGTGGGAATTGAACTCAGGACCTCTGGAAGAATAGTCAGTGTTCTTAACCTCCAAGCCATCGCTCCAGCCCCCAAGAAGAAATCTTAAACACCAATATCAAGAACTACCTCTTCAAAGGAGTGCTAATCTGTTTTGTTTTAATTAATAATTCCATTCCTTTATATCTCAAATGATATCCCACTTCCCAGTTATCCCTCCACAAACCCCCCATCCCACATCAGCCCTCTCCCCATCCCCTTTGCCTCTATGATGGTGCTCCCCCACCCACCCTCTCCCACTCCACTGTTCTAGCATACCCCTATGCTGGGCATCAAACCTCCACAGGACCAAAGGCCTCCTCCTCCCACAGACCTCAGACAAGGCCATCCTTTGGTACATATGTATCTGGAGCCATGGATTCCTCCTTGTACACTCTTAGGTTGGTGGTCTAGTCCCTGGGAGCACTGGATGGTCTGGCCAGCCAACACTATTCTTCCTAAGAGGTTGCAATCCCCCTCTGCTCCTCCAGTCCTTCTACCAGCTCCCCCACCAGGGTCCTTGAGCTTAGTCTGATGGTTGGCTCCAAGCATCCACATCTGCATTGGTCAGTTGCTGGAAGAACATCCCAAGGAACAGTCACATCAAGGTTCCTGTCAGCAAGTGCCTCTTAGCAACAGCAACAGTGTGAGGGCTTGGTGTCTGCAGACAGGATGGATCCCCGGGTGAGGCAGTTCCTGGATGGCCCTTCCTTCAGTCTCTGCTCCATTTTTTTCTTTTCTTTTTTTTATTGGATATTTTATTTACATTTCAGATGTAATCCCCTTACCCCCCCACCAAGGAACCCCCAATCCCATCCCCCCTCCTCCTGCTTCTATGAAGATATGTCCCCACCCACCCTCCCATTCTCACCTCCCCATCTACAGTTTTCCCCACACTGGGGCGTCCAGCCTTCACTGGACCAAGGACTTCCTCACCCACCTATGCCTGACACTATCATCCCATTTTATGTCCCTGTTTTTCCTTTGGACAGGAACATTTCTGGGTTAAAAACTTTGAGATAGGTGGGTGGCCCCACCCCTCAACCAGGGGCCATGCCTATCTATTGGAGGTGGTCTCTACAGGTTCTATCTCCCCTTCACTCTGCATTTCAGCTAAAGTCATTCTCATTGGGTCTTGGGAGTCTTTCACTTCCCTGGCATCTGGGACCCTCCAGGCTATCCATTCTCATTCCCCATTAAGGAACACTAATTTAACCTGATTTGTTTAATGTAGCAATTTACACTACTGAAAATATCAGAACCAGGGAGATTGAGAGACAGTTTGGTGGCTAAGAGCATTTGCTGCTTTTGCATAGAACTTGGGTTTAGCTACCAGTATCCACACAACAGCTCACAACCATCTATAACTTTATTTAAAGGGTTGTGATATCTTCTTCTGATCACTGTGGGTACCAGGCATATACATGATGTACATACATACACATAGGCAAGCATCAATGTAATTAGTAGAGGAGGGGGAGGGGAGACAATTAGCCAGTAACTAGTGGAGTTTAAAAAGTGGAATGTGTGATGACACACACCTTTAATTCTAGCACTCTGGAGGTAGAAGTAGAAGCAGGCTGATCTCTAGGACTTTAATGGCAGCCTGGTCTATATAGTAAGTTCCAGACCAACCAAGGCTACTTAGTGAGACCCTGTCTCAAACATTAGCAGCAGCAGCAGCAGCAATAACAACAAGAACACCACCACAAAATGGAATGTGGTTAAGGAGGAAAAGAGACAACTAAAGGAATCCTTGTCAAACCATCATC